AATTAGCATTGTTAGCAAAGTAGAAGCTTACCGTAAAGAATGAGTTATCCATTAGCTGCGGTGCCGAAGGCAGCCTAAATATGACCACGCGTTCATCCTCCACGCTGGAGGCTTCTTCTGGTATGGTTTCGGGAAAGGCAAACTCCTTGGGAGAGGAAACCCAGGAACCCTGGTTTTAAGCGAAGGTAAAAGTATAATAAATTCCTTCAGCTTTGTTACATACAAACCTCCTCGTCCTGCCTTCCATAGTCAGAGATACCGCTCTGTGGCGAATCCGCCTTGGGCGACATGGCATCCGCACTGAGTGAGTGCTTTCGCGCGGGAAAAACATCCGTGGATCCTTTTGGAGTGGGTGCACACAGCAAATTGCGAGCCTTGGGCTTCACGGGAGCTGTAAAGCATGGCGCTCCGGGTGCTCGATTATCCCACATTCCCTGCCACAGCTTGATGCCGTTCTCCAGGCGAAAGTTCTGGAAGTCCGATTCCTTCAGGTGGTGTATAATAGGTGCAAATAGGTACACAAAGAGCTGAAAGGAAGGGGTATTAATGAAGGCGTTAGTAACCTAGTAATACCCTACCGTAATAGTTGGCACGGAGAATAAGTACTGATCAATGGACTTCGACTTGGGTTCTGTCGCATCGCCCAGGCCCAGATCCTCGCCGCCTTCATCATCGGCACATTCCTCGGCGGCGTAAAGCAGGATCCACTGCATGGTGTACAGTAGCTTGGTCTCCACAGGACCAATCGCCTGCATGTCCTTGACGCGATTGTACAGCAGAGCGGCACAAGCGTGCATAACATGTGGCAGAGCTCCTTGCAACAGGCGCCATCGGGGAATCACGCCCAATCCCTTCGTGAGGGGCGGTGACAGCCCGAACTGGATGTTCTGCACGAGCACTTTCTCAAAGGACTACGAAATGGGTTTCATAAATATGGGATTACAGACCTAATTATTCTTGGACTCACCTTGCAGGCTTCCTTTGACTCCTGAACATCGAAAATTGGCAAGAAATTGTTAAATTTATAAAACAGTTGAGGTAATAAAGATTTAAAGCTACCAGATTACAGCAAAATAAAGGGGTTTTCAGACAAAAACAAATCTTAAACATAGGCACATAAAACATTTAACATATACATTATAAAGGGGACGAAATTATGCTTTTAACCTCAATATTATGCTTCTAGTTAAACATTGAGCGAACAAGCTTTAGAAATAAAGGGGTATCACTACTACAAACATTTATAACTTACATGGTGTCCCGGTGCATGTTGACAAAACTACATTCAGATTCAGACAAATTGCGAAAGATTTTACAATGTTAATTTGTACAGTTTGTCATTGTAGTTGTGGGTTTAGTTGATTGTGTATAAAGCAAACTGAATGTACTGCACACAAGCGCAGGAAAAGTTTCCAAGCCTACATTAAGCTAGGCAAAAAGTGTAGCATACTTTTTTGGGCGTTCTCAGCCGTACGAAACGAAACTTTTCCCGGCCTGGTGCAAATGGAAGACAGGTCTGTTGTTCAGTTTGTGGAGGGTGGCCGTGTTAGTAGTTGTTAAAGGAAAATAAATCGAATGCAGGAAAGTATATAAAACATCAAACATCAAGGTAAAGACTCAAATTTGGCTTCCAGTTTTCCATGAGTTTTGCTGAGTGAAATCAAAAGGAGAAGACATTGAACACAATTGTTGGTCTTTAATACGAATGCTTGTGCCAATCTGAATGCCAATGGTTTGGGTTTCGGTATGTTACACAGTCCATCCTTACAACAAACACGCATAGCGAATATACAGCACCCATTTGTGTTGGGATATTGGCTCCTTATTGTTGGCCATCGCAGCTCTTTTCGTTTTCTATCTTTGGCAATTGACTTAAAGGTTGTTGGCAAGCCCTAGCCAAACTCACCAGACAGGTAGACTCGTGCAGCTTGCCCAGCTTGGGCCGGATGAAGGGCGCTATTTGCCGCCACAGGAATGTTTGCACGGACACCGGCAAGCCGAGGTCCTGCAGTCCACTGTCCTGGTCAAAGTCAAAGTCATCGTTGTTGTTGTTCGCCCCATGGCTGTTGTTGTTCGTCTGCAGGTTGTTGTTGTTCGTGGTGTTGCTTGTTGCTGCTCCCGTTGCGGCTGTGCCCGCGGCATTGGTCACCATGGTGGCCAGCTGGAATGGCACAAGGACACAAATCAATTGGCGTGCAACAGCTGTCTGTTGCCATTCATAAACTGGAGGAGCAGGGCTGGGGCATTAGCATATGTGCAACAGGTGTTTGCGTGCGCAGGCCCAACACGCTGCTCCTGTTGATTTGCATTTTCTTTTTTTCCCAGCGACTAGGTCAGTGCCATCATGGCACTCCCCCGCTGCCGAAAAGCCGACCAAGATTTCGGTCCTGGGACGCTGCGCAGAACGCAGACTCCGCATCAGCGGCGAGAACGAGGCGACTGGGTTATAGATACAGAACTGGGTTTCTGGTATACATGCTAATTTGGGGCAAAAATTTTCACAGACTTATATAACCCGACCTGGGATTGTGGAAAATTTCACTTTTCCGCGATTAATTGCTGTCGCACCGCCAATTGTTTGCCACTTAGCACACACTCAAATCAAACGGGCCAGCATTTCGCTTGATTGGTGCCGCACCCAGTGGAAATCGCTACTGGCCATCACTTCTCCACTCCACTCAACTGGGCTGGGCCCCTTGGACAGACTAATTGCAGAGCCTTTCTTGGGCGTGCAGCACTTTTTGTTTGATTTCAATTTGTGTATTTTGCCGTTTTTGCCCCTTTTTCTGCAGTCCTGCCAGTTTTTTTTGTGCGGTTCTGCAAGGACTTACCTTGATTTGCGCGTAGCCAGTTTCGGATAACGTTTACTGCTGGAGCGTTCGGATGCAACTGAGACAAGCGTCGTTAACTGACGAGCTCTGAACTCCCCGTCGTTGTCATCCTCTCAGCCGCCGCGTCCTCCATTCGCCATCGTTTCCAATGCCGACAGCAGCAGGCCAGCAGTGCGTATACAGGATATTTTGCCGAGAAACACACACAAGCGCAGAGCGTCATGCCACCACCCGCACTCAATATTAAGTATACGCACTGAATGGGCGACTAAAGGGCAGCTCCCCGGGTACGGCGTGTCCTTGCACTGGTTATGGAAGGCCCTAACTTGCTCGCCCATCAGGACACCCTGTTTCTGGAGCACACTTATCAATGATAACAAATGCCAGGGGGTGGACATTGCGTATACGCCGTGGGTGGCCATTAAACTCCTTTGTCTACGAGCCTCTGGGGTGCGACTGCGAATAAATAGTGTAGTATTAAAGTAGTAATGGCCAAACATAAGTCACTGTTCCTTCGGACTTGAGTGGAAATGGAATTTATAGCCTTGCCTTCACTAATTAATCTTCTGATTAAGCAAACTTGGCTTTACGCTTGTAAAGTCCTTGCCAAAATGCGTTATACATTTACATTAGTAGGAGGAACATAACCTTTGAGATTTATAAAAATAGCTTGATTGCCAGCGCACAAAGCCCTTAATCCAAGAGTTGTTCACAGAAACGAGTTCTATAAATACAAGCACATGAGGCGCTATTTATCAATGACTTGCGCACACTAATCTGCGCAGATTCGTGGCAACAATCGGCTGCTGATATCAGCTGTTCAATCAAGGACCAAATCGGCCCAAATACTTATGCACCAGTCAACAGGTGGCCCACAAGGAGTAAACAATAACACAGCCAGGGAGGCTGCGCGGCCAAAAGCCGAACCGAAGGCTCAATGGATGGAGAGACAGGACGCGACTGGACGCCCAGAGAGTGGGTCTGATGAGCATCAGCCGGGAGGCGGGCACACAGCTGGGCTCAAAACTGGGTCAAAGAAGGGCCTGTCTGATGGCACGAACACGTACGTGCATATACACTTACATAGAATGTCAAGGACATGAGCACATGGAAATGGATGTGCCGGCAGTGCCAATGGCCTGCTTGGCTTAATTGCCACTTCCTTGCCAGATTCGCCGCCTTCTAAGCACCTCCCTTACCCTTCAGGCTTGATCGGTCATTATATACCCACCACCCATTTACCTATGCAAACAATTCGAACATCTAGTTGTTGCTGTACATTTTTGCTCTGAATACGCCTCGCGTATCTGTGTCATAGTTTTTATAAATAGCACGCATTAAAATGTTGTACAGGCGGCAGAGAAGAAGGCGCCTGAGGGGCCAGCAGTGCGCCTTCTATGTAGATGAGATGCCAGCGAGGAATAGAACTTTTGGAGCATGTATAATGTATAAATATTGAAAGGCTTTCAGGTGTTCTGGCGGCGGACAAACAAGAAATCGGCCATTTAACACCCCCACATACGACCGGCTGACAAAACATTTCGAATGATAACAGGCAAGACCTGAGAAACACGTACGGTGCTTGCCAAAAAGACGATCAGGGTCGATGAGTGTATAAATATATACATGTATAGGCCAAATTTATAGTACATAGTGCCAGCGAGACATCTAAACATACCACGTAAAACGCCAGCATGGAGCCCAATCTATTGCGCAGCGCTGAACAATCAGTTCCACTCCCAACCCTCCTGAGTGGGAAATGCTGCCCAGAAAATATTATCTGCAAAATCATCTGTAACAGCGAATGATATTCAACACTATCCGGCTGGGAATGCCACAAGCGATTATTATTTTGCCTTCACGAAAGAAATAAAACGAAAAAATTCACAGAATTACCGAAAAAAACAAAATGCTTAAAAATAGCCCGGCCAGAGAGCGGACAACAAATGGCTCTGGCTCCATAGGAGAGCCCCAATATCTGGTGGTCGATGGTCCATGGGATCCCAAAAGAGAGGTGGCATTCGAAAAGTTCCCCAAGATGAAAGTAAATTCTTGCCATCGCAGCATACTACAGCATATATTTTGGTGTGTGTATAGCCTTGCGCAGGAAAAGAGCGAGCGTTTCGTCATCCATTCGTATTCGAGTTCGTATTCGTTTTTGAATTCGTATTCGAAGCTGTAGCTGTATCTGTATCTGAGTGCTCGGCGATCGGCTGGTTGGCTTTCACCTCAGAATTACCTTGCCGTACTGCCGCTGACGAATAACGTTCAGTCGAGACCGAGCTCATCCGCGATACAGTTGATTTTCGCATCTAACAGACAAAATGGTGAGTGCCCAGTCGGCCAAGGAATCTTCACACATCTTCCACCAATATCCAGTGATATATATATGCATCAGCTGAAAACGCAACATTTTCCACACTCGAATTAATGCCAAACTCTCAAATCTTTTTCGATTCCGTTGACAGGCTGATGTTCCAAAGCGTGAAGTTGAAAGTAAGTTAAGAACCCGCACAAAAGGATTATCTCTAACCTCAAACGAAATCCATCAAAGTTAAACCAATAAACCATTTTGAATGAAGTAGGTAACAGAAAACCTAGCAAAAAGGACTAAAAACCAGTATAAAAAAAAAATCCATAAAAATACAGATTACATAATGTGCGCGTGTGAGATACACAACAAAAAGTACACAAAAGTCGGTGAACATATTTCGTAATCACTTGGAATATATCGCATACATATACGCGTGCCTATATATAACACTATGCGGAAAATTTTCATTAAGGAATGCCGTCTATATGTGTCTATATGCATCGCCTGAGCTATTTTCATCGTTCGACCAGAAACCAGGACGGATAAAGGTTGCCAACACAATTCCGGTAGAGAAAATCTAGTGCAAAGTTAAGTTTGAGTTATAGAAAAGCCGCGGCAAACAATGAAAATCGTGTGTGTATATGTCGCGAACCCGAACGCGCGATCGCCACCGATCCGAAATGCTGGTCGTTTAGAGATCTAATTTTGGCCAAGTTATTTCTTCAGATTTATTTTCGAACAAACGCAAACGCACAGCGAAGAGATGAGAAAACTACGCGACTTTGTGTGTATATATGCCTATATACTGTGTACATAGCGTAGACGAGGGCGAAGGCGTTCGGTTCGGGTGTCGGATTACGTATACGTAGTGTGTTCTTGGGGCTGGCCACTCTCCCAGATCCCCAACCCACTCACGCATACACACAAAGTAAGCAATGCCCAGCCATGTCAAGATTTTCATGATGACCAAAAATGTGCGTACCAGAAATTTCAGGGTTACCACATCGACCCCGTTTTCAGAAAAAAAAATAAAAGGGTGGTCAACACCCAGCTTTGCCAAAGTATTTTTAAAGCAATTAATTAGGCAACCCAATCAAAATGAAATAAATATAAACAATAATTTGATGGCACTTACGTTTGATCCAATGCCATCACGTTGCAAATGCTAATCGAGTTCCTTTTGCGCAGATGTCGAATTCGTTTTCGAAGTCATGGGCTCCCCCGGTGAGGGCATTGATGCCGTCGACCTAGGTGATGCCCTCCGCGCTCTGAACTTGAACCCCACCTTGGCGCTGATCGAGAAACTGGGCGGCACCAAGAAGCGCAACGAGAAGAAGATCAAGCTGGATGAGTTCCTGCCCATCTACTCACAGGTCAAGAAGGAGAAGGAGCAGGGCTGCTACGAGGACTTCATCGAGTGCTTGAAGCTCTACGACAAGGAGGAGAACGGCACCATGATGCTGGCTGAGCTGCAGCACGCCCTGCTGGCGCTGGGTGAGTGATCTGCTTGGCTTTCGCCTGGGATGACCCTCTAAATCCTTTTATGCCCCCAAAAGGTGAGAGCTTGGATGACGAGCAGGTGGAGACCCTGTTCGCCGACTGCATGGATCCCGAGGATGATGAAGGATTTATCCCCTACTCTCGTAAGTATTCGTTGCTTGGACGACCCTGACTTGATGTTTTTTGTAAATTATTCGTAAACGATTTGTAAACGCCGTTTGTCTATTCCACATGTCACTCTTTTTCTGCGCACAAACCGAAAATCCCCACCACACTGCACTGTGCACTTTGTACCACCAACTCGAACCGCAAACCAAAAATCCAAAAACCCAAAAATATGTGTATGCGTATCCATGTTTGCGTGTCCATTCCTCAAACACCACACTCGAAAAAAACAATGTCCAACTCCCGAATGTCAAACGTATGGTCTCTGCACTGTGATTGCGTCTTGTTTACCCGTCGTCCACCTGAAATTGAATGAAAACAGAGTTCGTCCAGCGCCTGATGAGCGACCCTGTCGTCTTCGACTAAACAGTAAGTAGGGATTGAGCCCAGGGCCACTTACCCGGTGTGTGGATATCCAATTGTCCAACGAACTTGGGGAACAGCTTGCTGATAATGCCCGTTTTTCCCGTCTACTCCACAGCATTCCTCGCCAGAATGTGTGACAGACCCGATCAGCTAAAATAGTTGAAAACAACAGCTTCAAACCAACTACAACAACACCAACCAACTTTTAGCGACAACCATTCTCCATAGATGTTATATTCATCGCTAACTCTCTCTATCTCTCTCGTATATTATTTTAATTAAAAATTACTTCTGCTACTACAACTGCAAAATTGAACTTCAAGATAATATTATTTTTTAAAAAATAAAAAAATTTAAATTATAAAATAACGAAAAAAAAACTGAAAAATATTCAAAGTTTTGTGCACATCATTTTTGTTATGAATTATTTTGTTGGTTCAGCCAAAAGGCAAAGCAATAGTTAATGATTATTTTATATGAGACGTGAATAAACCAAATAGCAAATAATATAATGTTTAGGCAAATTCAACATCCGAAAGCGCCCAAAAAGGCAGTTATCAAGTCACCAAATGTGCGTGAATTGTGGCCTTTTAGCCTTCTCAGTTTACCATGTGAATGTGTGAAAGTGAAATAAGTCAAATGTATTTAAATAAACACTAAGAATAATTGTGCGGCCGATGAGGTGTTGCACAATCAATATACAAGAAAAAGATCAGGGTGGTGGAAAGGTTGGGATAATCCTGTACAAACGGTCTATTTAGGGATCAAAATATTTATAACAGATTTGGCTTGCTGTTGATTGAACTAAAAACTATAGTGCTGAACAAAGTATCACTTTTCTCAAAAGGCTGAAATTTTATATTGCATATGCGCCGCAAACATGTATCTAGATATTTTCGCCGTAGACTAAAGTGAATGGTTCAGCTGAGACACAAACCATCAATGAGAGGCAGACGAACTTAATACCGTGTACTAAATGTCGTTTTAGCTTTGGCTCACAGAGAGAGCTTTCGAAATATAGTACATTAATCTCCCAGCTTGATTGGTTTTTGTCTTTACTTTCGTTTTAATTATTTATTTATTGAATTTAAATAGAATTGGGTGAAAGGGTGGAAATACTCGCATCCTGATTTCCGCCTTCCTCGTATATTCAACAAGAACAATTATAAACTAAAAACAATAATAATTGTGATTCCGGGGGTTGTGATTCCGCTGAGCTTTTGCGTCGACGGCGATTCAAAAAGTGTCAGAAAGTTTCGGTTAAATACGACGTCTACGAATCAGTTGAAATCGAGATAACAAGCCGACAAGCCGACCGAGCGGGTGCTGTCTCGCCGATTTAAAATTTGCACTAGCAAAAATCCAAATAAATTAGCAGAGTGCCAGTGAAGTGAGTGAGCGTGAGTGCACACAGTCGAAATATAAAAATTGCCATTTACGCCGTTTCAAATCATATTTTCTGCGCGCATTTCCCAGCGCTCTGTTAAAGGCTAATCGAATGTGAACCCAAAATATATTATTCCACACGCTGAACGAGTGCTAAGTGAAAAGGACTAGCCCAAAGATACACACACGCAGAAAAATACCGACAGATCTGAAGTCCTTTTCGAGTTTTCCCGTGAGTGCAATAAATACAGACACAGCACACATACACACACGCACACTCGCTCGACTTTCAACATGGCGGATGTCCTGGAGAAAAGCTCACTGCTGGATGCTGTGCCACCACTAGGCGACCCCCACCCACCGCTGCCCCACCAGCAGCTGCAACAGGAAGCAGCAGCAGCAGCAAATGCTGCACCACCGCAGCAGCAACCACCACCACCGCATCAGCAGCAGCAGCAGCAGCCACAACAGCTGCCACAGAAGCCAGCAAATGCGAGGGCTAATCAGGATCAAAAAGGTGAGGGCGATGCTAGATACACAGAAAAGAAATGGTTCATAGAAAACAATGTGACAACATTAGTGTGTAAAGGTAGTGAAATGATAAGATAGGATGTGTCAAAACCCTAATCACATAGTGTAAACCCAACTATAACTATTTGCTGTGCAATATGGTACACCTGAATTTAGCAGTAAAAGTGACTTCGCAGCGCATCACGCATACGCCGTGTGTGCTTCAGCAAATCAATTAGGAAAGTTCAAGGCACGCCTCCGCAGCCCAGTTGCACTGGTGATAGCGATTGGTATGGCTCAATTAGGCAAATTATATTGCCGGCACACCCCAGGACATTGATGGTTATGTCAGGCGAGCATGCAGGCCGTGGACTCACGTCATGCCCGCCACATTATGCAAATGGATTTTGGGCCGGTTCAGTGCTCTGTGTGTGATCTGTTTGAGCAACCGCTTAGACCGGCAAGTTTACGGCTTTGAGGCGCAGCTCCAGGGGGCTCGACTGCCGGCAGGATGTGGATGCGGCTCCATTGTGCCCCGGCTCTCGGTTTAATGACCTCCAACTGTGGCAAGCCGCCACCCACACGGCGGCCGAGTGCAGCTTTTAATTGTTCTCGATGCCCGGTGCCTTTGCCTCCAGTCCGCTGCATTGGCTAGGTGCAAGTGTGTATCTACCAGATATATATTTATATATGTGTATCTAGAGAGATACCGATATGGCCCACTGCGATAAAAGTTATCAGCAATTTGAGCTCGTGCACTCGCAAAAAGATGATCCCTGGTCTTAAGGGTGTCACACTGCACTTGTGCCTCTTATAAGGAATTAAAGCTCCATAAACCCAACTTTAAGCCTTTTCTAAACATACTATAAACAAGAAGTCTCTTCAAAACATACAATTAATCAAAAAATGTTTCTAGGATGAAAGAAATATGTTATTGTCAAAGCATTAAGTGGATAGGTAGCTCTAAGTATACAATTATTAATACAAAGCGAATCAAGCATGTTGATAAGCTATAATTATTTTTTGAGTGCACCGCTGCTGTGGTTGCCCTGCATTTGACCTCGTTTCAAATCGAGCTGTGTGTGCCCTTTCATACGGGTTCGTTCGGTCTGCAGAGTTCACCAGCATCAGCTGGTTAAACGCAATATTGAATTTCCTGTTGAATAGGGTATTCCGCATGCGACTCGGCTCCATTTCGGACTACCCTCTAAAACAGTTGACTTCATTAGGGCAGTGAGATGTGTGTGCAGCAAAAAGATACACCCCTGCCTCGTCGGGCGAATATTAAATCAAGTGTGTTCGAGTCAAGAGCAAACCGGCTCTGCTAAATAAAAACAATAACAATGCGCTGCTGCTGTAGCTTTGTTTAGCGCTAATAATAAAAGTAAAAATATAGTTGTTGATTACTATCGGAGCTGCCATCTACATGAAGTCACCCGCTCTACATCAGCATCTAGATTATATGACACTCGTGTTGATAACTTGCCACCTGACAGGTTTGCACTTTCTTTGGCAATCATATTTTATACTACTAATGATAATAATGATCGTGTGACGTAATGGCGCTCAATTGAAAACAAACAAATGTATACTACGCTCAGCGATTTTATAAATAGCCCAGAATCGCTGCAATTTCTGTCACCCATTTCGCGGTGGCTTTTCAATTATCACGAAACGCTGCCAGTTTCGTTTCTCATTTGCAGTTGGCGCTGCAATTGATTTTCTTCTCTCTGTCTCTGGTTTTTCCTATTGGGGGCGTGTGCCAGTTTTCCGTAGATACCTTTTTCTTAACGGAAAGCTTTTAAAACTCTGCTAATTGTTAAGGTTTCCGCTTTGTGAAACAATTACCAAATATTTGGAGCCATATTTGTGGGGCACACCTATGCACAAACTATTCAAGCACGACGAATATGGATTTTGGCTTTCGATTTTGTGACTTTGGGATACGCATGGCCTGTCCATATGGTCTTAATGGTTAATCAACTAGTCTGCCAAGCGATTCAAGAATTTCTGTCCACTTATCAGTCGAACAGCCAACCTTATGGCTAATTTCTTGACTGGTTGCAGTAATTAGTATGCGAAATGAGAAGCCACGAAGTAGTTAGTGCATTGCGTATCTGATGGATGCATCTGAGAATGCGGTAGCCTGGGGCTTGATTAATTAATTTGAAAATTAAAAGTTTGATCAATAAAGTTGGCAACAGAATATTAATAAAGTACTGCCTTAGCTCGGGTGTTTGCCTAATTGTTTTTCCGCGAACAAACTGTCGCTAGACACGCGACATGCAAATCCCTTTCGATCCGTGTTACCCTCTAATTAAAGCCACAAAAGAGTTGTCAAATGGCTGCGGAGCGTTGGCACCTCCAATCCCAGTTCAATAAACTCGGCCCGGGAGGGAGGAACTGGCTATGATTTCGATTTGCTGGAATCTGCCCGATTTTCCACGACAGTTTTCACTTTCCCCAGTAGGAGGGAGTCTTCAGCTGGGTGGGTTACCCAATCCAATCCCAATTCCAATTCCATTACCAATTCCCATCCCAGTTGGCTTGTACCGCTTTGGGCAGACGCCGCATAATTTGTTGTTCTGCTGGAAGTTGTAGCCAAGTCCATATTTGGCATCGCCGCCCGTTTTGGCCGACGTATCGTGCGTGCGGCTGCCGCACTGACAATTGCCACATTTTGTGGCAGGCAATCAATAATCGAAGTGCGTCAAAAATACAAATGTTAAAGTTACCAAACCGCCAGCCAGTTCGGCCATAAATACGGCCATGTTCGACACGAAATGCGCGCCACCAGAGGTCCTAGTCAATATAGCCATAAATTTGGCTCTTGATTAATTGATAAGGTGCCGTATTCAACTTGGGACTATAAGAATAAATAGGTGCATATGTTACTTATTATACTATTAAACTAGAACACTCATTTACCTGATTTTCTATAGCATATTCGGGCTCCGAGTGGAAGGCACTTCCAAACTCTTTGTAAAATATACAAATATACATATTTAGAAGGCATAGTGAAACACAAACCTATGTCGCTCTTAGGGAAAAAGTTTACTTTCCATTACTTTATTTGTAGAAGCGAGAAGCGCGGCCAAAACCTCCGCGATATTCGACCTGTCCGCTTCCGGCGCCCACATCGCCTTTCTTGTCCACTCCATCGTAGCCAGAACCGCGTCTATAGTTCGATCTGTCCTCATCGGCTTTGGAGGCGCCTCCAAATCCACGAGCTCCCGATCCCCCAGCTCCGCCACGCGGACGCACTGGCTCCGAGCGAGCAAGACGCGTCAAAGTGGAGGGCACGATCTCCGGGGGCAAGTGCAGATAGGTGCGCAGCTCCTCGATGCCCTCGTTGGTCAGGCACCAGTAGTAGTGCCGCCAGGCGAACTGCTCCTTGACCCAGCCACGCGAATGCAGCGACTTCATCACCTTGATGACTTGCAAATTGGGAATCTTCTCCAGATCCGGGTGCTTCGTGATGGGCGAGTCCTTCT